AAAAAAAAAAAAATATATATATATATATATATATATATATAAAACAGTTTGTCACAGCCCCTCGTTTGTTGTCCTCTTCTCTCTCTCTGCCTACGGTTTACCGGGCAGTTCTGTTTGTGACGATATATATATATATATGAGTATCAATAGCAACGAAAAGGAAAAGGAAGAAAGACGGAGGAGGCAAAGGAAGGAAAGGATAAAGGAAAAAGGAAAAAGGCTGATAAGAACGAAGGCAGAGGAGGAAGAATTTGCTCCGCCACCCCAGTGACGCCACCCAGCTTGCTTCACCAACCAGCGAATCGGATCGCCTTCATCTGTTATGCTTGATCCCTTTTTTCTTACCAGCGTCCACAGTCTAAATCCCCACAGATGAACTCGGAAGGTAAGAACGCAAAGGCAACCCACACAATCCCATTTAGGAGAAAGAGGGAAGCAAAAAAAGACTTCCAGAGCGAGGAAGAAAAAGGGAGAATAACCCCCCCCCCGCCCACCAAAAAAAAAAAAAAAAGGGGAGTAAAAGAAGTAGAGAAATCAGGAGCTCGAAAGGAGGAAGTTTTATAGACTTACAGCCTCGCTCGAAAACTCTCGACATGCTTTAAAGACAAAAAAATGCCAATGTATCTTTCCATGTTCTAGCGGAGGATTCAGTCGCATTTTTCACATTCCCGGGAGAAGTGGAGCGAGCCCCTTACTTACAGGCCATTCGCCAGAGACGAGGCATTGTCAAGCTAACTGAATTATATACAACAGCAGGCAGGAGGCAGTAAGCAGGTGAGGAGGTGAGGAGGTGAGGAGGTGAGGAGGTGAGGAGGTGAAGGGTAGGAGGTGAGGAGGTGGTCTAGTGCGTAGTAGTTAGACCGTGTTCACTTAAGGTGGACTTAGTTCCAAACGCGATCAGAAATCCCCGTGTTCAGTCAGCACCCAAGGTTGCCCCTGAAATTCGGAATTGGGGTTAAATACCCTCCAAGTCGGACAAAAGGTTTGGAAGGAAGAGGGCGGGGGGGAGGGAGGAAGGGAGGCGGGGTGGGGGGGGGAAGGGAAGGGAGGGAAAGGAATAGGTGGGTCACCAATGTTTTCCCGCAGTTATTAAACCCGACGCGGCGAAACGGAACGAAGCGGACTGGGTCCCAAACGGAAGTCAACGAAACGGAGACAAATTGACCGACCATAAAACCTCTTCTCTGAGAGCTGGAGTGTTCCATTGTCAAACGGCGCTCCAACTGCTACGCGACAATAAACATCCTCCTTCTCTGAAGAGCCAGATTCTCTGCTGCCAGCCAGCCACCTCCTCGGCAGTCCCCCCCCCCCCCCTTATTTTTCAGGTTTCTTTTCTTCTCTATCGTCGGATTCCCCTCCCTTCCCCACCTCTCAGGCGTGTCCTTATTCGCCCATTATCCCAAAATAGCATATTACTGTATTAACAATCTTCACCAACGCCTCCTCCTCCTCCTCCTCCTCCTCTCATCCTTATAAACCTTGCTTCTTTTTCACTTCCGTCATGTCACATTATTATTATTAATTGATCCGCATCCCTTCTTCTTGGAACCCACCTTGCCAGGTTCAATGAATCTCTTATAATCGTAGCAATTGCAGACCCAGACAAAACCTCGCCGACCCAAACAAACCCCCCCATCAAACCCCCATCATGTACCCCCCCCTCTATTTCAAATATACGACTCAGTGTAGAGGCAGAGTGTTATACGACTCAGCGTACTCAACGGCGACTCAGCGTACTCAACGGCTTCTTCTGAACGCACGATGTGACCCTATGGTGGTATTCAGAAGAACCCCCTCCCTCCCTTCCCTTGAAGGGCGAGCAAGTCGGAAAAAAAAAAAAAGCCGATTAATTTTGTTGGAGTCGAGGAAAAATCAATCATGCCCATCAGCGGCAGGTTTTCCACCCCCTCGAGACGGAGATCCAACCCCTCAAGACGGAGACGCGCCGACTGGAAGTACTCCATCACACCCTCTGCTTCTCCGAGATGCTGTCATCAGCCCGTTCATATGAGAAGCTGACGTGGCTGTTTTTCGTCAGAAGGAATGCCAACGTGTCCCCATGGGCACGGCGATCTAAGCAGCTGCTGCTGACAGCTGGCGGAAGTTCGAGTGATGGGTCGGAGGTTGCCACTGATTGCGGACAGGAGGGGGAGGAGGGGGAGGAGGGTCGATGAGAGGTACAGTAACCGTGGCCAGCCCGGATGGAGACGTCATCAGTTGTGCCGGGATGCGGCGAGACGGGGGCGCCACACTGCCAACACCAAGCACCATCATCAGGGGACAACTTTGCATCGCTGCAAGGCTTTCCGCCCACTGACACGTCGACATCCTCCTCCTCCTCGTCCTCCTCCTCCCCCTCGCGCTCTCCCCCCCATAACCTCCTCCGCTCACTCTCCGCGATCACCTCGCGCCGTCTCGAAGACTGCGCTTCCCCGTCGCCCCTTGCCGACAAGTCCGCCTCCTCATCCTGTTGGAACACCCCGCTCGGCTCAGGGCTCGACACGTCATCGTCTGCTCCTCCTGCATCTGGTCGCAATTGCATCTCCGCCGCCATCTCCGCCGCTACGCCGCTCTCTTCCTTCACGGCGCGAGATGGTGCGCCAGCGCAGCATCCATCAGGTAGTGTACCGACGTCCCCGTTCTCTCGATCATCCTTGACAGCCATCGCCTTCACCCTGTCTTCTTCCTCCTCCCTTCTCCTACCACTCCTCGGGGCCGTTTCTTCTTCCTTCTTCCCCTCCGCACGCTCCCCCTCCCCCTCCCCCTCCTCCTCCTCCTTACCCGCTCTCCGGCTGATATGCCGCAGATACGATCGGTACGCGGAGCCGCCGTGCAGGGAGGAATCGTGATCTTCGATGAAATTCGGCGATCCGACGCCGGGGGAGCAGGGGGAATTCAGCGCACCATGCGCGTCGCCGTCGAGCGACCTGCTGGAGGACAAGCTCCGCCGCAATCGCGCGAAGAGTCCGGATCCCGACGCAGACTTCTTAAGGTGAGGGCTCGCGAGCACGTCCGGCGAGTGGGAGGGGACGATGTCGACGACAAGCACGGTGATGTCATCGTGCAGTCCTTTGGATTTGAGCACGGACTTAACGAGTTTGCGCGCGCAGTCGGCGTTATCCTTGTGGCGAACGCGGCGCGCAACTTTCTCCGAGCTCATGGCATCCCAGAGCCCATCCGATCCCATGACCAGTCGTCCGCCGCAGGGCGGAACCTCCACCTGCACGACATGTGGCAGGGGGATGATGGAAGGGCCGACGTCGAGATCTCCAACAGATCGGGACACGCAGAGACCGCCAGGCCAGAAGCGCTTCGGTCCCACCTGGATCCCGTCCGACGTCCGCAGGCGTCCCAATGTGCCCCCTTCCATTTGCACGCGCCTGCATTCCTCCTCGGAGGTTTCAAACCTGTGATCTTTGGTCAGCGCCACCACACCCCCCGGTGCCGTGTCCAGAATCGCCCTCGAATCTCCCACCCCTGCTACCGTGACAGTCCAGTCGTTGATCAGCACCACCGTCGCCGTTGTACCCGACCTCTCGCCATCAGTAAGCGACGCGTTCGTTCGCACAAACGCGTGCGCTAATGCCTCTGGCAGCGCTTTCATCAACTCCTCCCTGTCCTCGATCCCCTTGACTCTCTCCTTCACATACTCCATAAGATTGTTCCGTGCGTGAAAGGCTGCCCCGATGCCATTATGTCCATCGAAGACCGCAAAGAGAGAGAAGGAATGGTGTTCGTTCAATTTGTACTCCGGCGCGGCAATGTAAAGGTCCTCCCCTTTCATCATCTCGGAGTCAACCGAGTGCCTGATGCATGGCGTAGACGATGCGGGAGAATAAGGCGGGGAAGATCCGCCATTGGAAGACGGAGAGGCAGCAGGATGATGAAGTTCAGGCATGGAGGGAGAGGTGGAGAGAGATGCATGACTCCTGATGACGTCATCGCCCTCCGGTTTCCTCGTCCAGAAGATGTTGCCATGCGTTATGATCGACTTCACTGACAAGAAGCGTTTCCTTGCCGCCGTGGGACCACCACCACTACCACTACCACCAACCATGCTAATACTATCGAGACTCATCGAGTGATTATTGAGGCCCTTCAACGAACTATACGCATTGCGATAATCAATGGCGATGGCCATATTTTTTGTTGACGTCCTTGAGCTTGCCGTCGGGGCGGGCCAATCGCACAGAAATCGCAACAAGAGCGTTGTGTTGTCCTCTGCGCAATTGTCTCCAACAATGGACCTCCTCCTCCTCCTCCTTAGCCCGTTGACCACTTCCTCCACTTCCTCCTCTTGCTCCTCTTGCTCCTCTTGCTCCTCTTGCTCCTCCTGCTCCTCCTGCTCCTCCTGCCCCCTTCTCCTTGTATGCACACAGCTCCCACCTTTCCCTAGTAGCGCCGAAGCTCTCGCGAGTTAACTGCACACCTACTACCCTCCCTCCTCCACCCTTGACTTCTTACTTATCGCACACAGACAGACAGAACCCTGTTTTCTGCTTCTCCCTCGTTGTGTATTTCCCCCCCTCCTCGTTTTTGTCGTTATGTACAATCCCCCCCGCCCCTATTTCCCGCTCCACTTCAAACAGACAACGCATAGAGCATGATCCCCCCAGGCACACCCCTTTCCCCCCCCCCTTCAACACACACACAAACTCTCTCTCTCTCTCTCTCTCTCTCTCTCTCTCTCTCTCTCTCTCTCTCTCTCTCTCTCTCTCTGTGTGTGTGTGTGTGTGTGTCACGAATAGACACTCGCCAACCGTTCTCTATGGAATTGCGAGTGTTCGCTCATCTGGAAGAAGATACAATACAAACTAGAAACGCAAACCGATATTAGTTAAAGTCTCAAAATGGATTATGACATATGTCGTATGTCGGGCCTTTATTTTTCCCAAGTACTGCTCAAAGGAACGCAATTACTGCACAAAATGCTTCACAGTGCGGACGAGTTGTCTTGCAGTTCAACGAACGTGTACATTAATACTAACCTGCATTCCCTGAACGAAAGGAAAACAGGGCCGTGAACTGAACAAAACTACGACATAAAAAAATTGGTTATAAATCGTTTAAGGCAGGCAGAATCCAATCCAAAAAAACAAAAGGCGAAAAAATCAACCGTTTCATTCCCCCGTTTCGCCCATCAGGAGAATACACAAACCATCCGCAACGGAAAAAAAAAAATTAACAGCCAAACGAAACCAATACGAAACGGCACGTCGTTCCAGTATCAAAACGCGACTCAGACAAATGGCGCAAATCCCTCTCTCTCTCTCTCTCTCTCTCTCTCTCTCTCTCTCTCTCTCTCTCTCTCTCAGGATTGGAAGCCTCTCCAATCCCAATCCCAATCCCAATCAAATCCAATCCCAATCCCAATCCAATCCAATCAGCACCTGCTTTCTGCGCCTTAAAGCGAGGTGTGCGCTCGATCGATTGATCACTCCACGTCACTCCTTTCTCCCCCCCTTATCTCCCCCGTACTTGCATTACAAGGCCCCGCCCCCGTTCCTTTACACCTCCCCCCCCCCCCCTCTCTATCTCTCCCCCGTAGCCGTACTAAAAGTCCCCGCCAAGACACTTCGAGGGAGGGGTCAAATTTTCAACCGTTCTCTTTCAACCTGCTCGTCGTGTCGCACGACGAACAAAGCCACCAACAGTTTCCTTCCTCTCTCTCCCCCTCACGCGAAGTACACAGCCAGCAACCGCTTTCTTCCACGCTCGTCGTGGTGCGGGAAGAACGCAGGCACAGACACCTGCCGCCGCTGGACATGAAATGGATTGCCAGCAGCGAAGCGCGTGACCGTGTGGAGGGATCTGCGAGGTGGCCTCCACCGCTCGATCAACGGGCCCTCTCCCCCTTCCTTCCACCTCCCACCTCCCACCGAATCCGTAGTTACTGCGTTTCGACACACCGATTGCGTTGTCTGCGAATGAAGCTGCTCTAGCTTCGACCGTTGGCAAACTAACTATAATATAATATATATTATATTATATTATATTATATTATATTATATTATATTATATTATATCAATTTATATGTCATATATACAAGATACAAGATAATAAACATCCTCCTTCAATTCAATCTGGTCGGTCAATTTACACACACTCCACTGTCTTTCCCGATGCCCCCAGCGGTGAACTTGATGATGATGATGATGATGTTACACCTATCTCTGGTTCTTCTTCGCTACCCTCCTCCTCCTCTCTCTCTCTCTCTCTCTCTCTCTCTCTCTCTCTCTCTCTCTCTTTCTCTCTCTCTCTTGCCCTCCTTCCCCTTCTCCCCTTTTCCTACTCTCTCTTCTCCTCTGCACCAGGTTCTCTCCGTCCCTCCCTTCCGCAGAGCTATCTGTCAGCAGTCGCCAGAAATATAGACAGTGTTCTCAGTCGCACCTAAGGTCGGTCACGCTCCGTTTGTGGGTTTGTGGCCTAAGACGAGATACCACCCCTCCCAAGGAGAGCCTGTTGACTCCGGGCGTGCTGATACCCGGACTACACAAAATGTACCTCACAGAAGAGGGGTATGCTCTGTCAGCGAGGTCGTAATTCACGTACTACGCCTTGACAAAGGGCACGGTTGGCAGAGAAAGAACGGAGGGAGGAGTGCTTCAGACTCCACCGCCGGCATACGATTACAGTCTACAACAATCGGCGAAGGCGAGCAACTCGTCCAGCATGAATCGAGACTGATCACCTCACGTATCCCTCCTCCTCCTCCTCCTCCTTCCTCCTCCTTCCCCCCTTCTTCTCGCTTCTTCTTTCTTCTTTCTGTTTCTTCTTCTTCCTTCTTCTGCTGCTGGTTCCCCCCCTCTCTTCTTTTCGCTAACGACTCCGATCTGCGCCACCCTCACCGATCGATCAGCAGCCAGCTCATCCTGCCCCACGTGATCAGCAGCCACCTCCTGAGGCTACTACGGGTATTAGGCAAGTACGGCCAAGAGAAGCTGCGCACGCGCAGCGCGGTCGCATCGGGCGGGCGAGCAGGCGCAGAAGTAACATAGAACCCAACAAACACCACCGCGAGTAGGCGCACATGTTCCAAGCAAAGGCCTGTCAGTGATAGACGTATCGCCAAGCAAAGGCCTGATAAACGTATTGATCGCAGAATCGACGTGCAACAAACATAATGGAATCCAATCACACTGATGACCAACGACCGAACAAACGAGATTCAGCAGAGGAACATGTTCCGCCCGCCGCACTTGCGCTCGCTCAAAGGTGGTCTGTCCGCAACTCCCTCCCTCCCYCCCCCCCCCCGCGTCTTCCCTCCTCTCTCTACGCCTGTGTGCGCTCTGCGTGCGCGTATTCTTCGCGTTCGGGCGCTCTCTGATTGCCTGAGTGGTGTCTGCTGCCAGGCAGCCCTCCTCATCTATTAGCGGCTGCCGAGCTCTCGCCACCTTGTGCTTCGATCTGGCGATCTATCTACATACCCCCGCTCTCTCTTCCTCTCCTCTCCTCTCCTCTCTGGGTGTTGTTTGTATCTGTCTGTATCCATCCTTGCTATGTATCGCGTCGCTGGTAGCTGCCCAACTCCACTCCTCTGGACTCGATCGAATTGCCTATGATGGCAGCCGGATTCCTTTTTTCTTTTTTGGAGTGAAAGAACCAAGCCGCCAGTGCCACCAAGTTTATTTCTTTTGTCTTTGTTCATAAAACTTCATTCATATAAGTGTATGTTCCAATGATTCCCCGTTCGGATTCGAACTCATGCTCTCTTTGAACACTCCTATGCCGGTACCATGTCCCGACCACATGTGTTGTGTTCATGTGGGTACCATTCAGCCACATGGGGGGGAGGTTAGGTAGCCGCCTACCCCCCCCCTCTCTTCACCACCAACCCTCCCCCCCCCCCCGATCTGTAAACGTTGTTTTTTTTTTTGTTTTTGTTTGATCGAGTGGCGCAATGAACGAACGGCCCGTGACAAAGAGGAGAGCCTTCTTTTCATTTCATGTCCTTTGTATTCAAACAAGAGAGCGGGGCGAGTTTTGATGGGCGAACGCGCGAATAGCAGGAAAAGGCAGTCGCGGGCCCACTCATCCGGCCCGCGACTACCGTCTTCCGCCGAACATAACGCACCCTAAAAATGAATGTGTGCAAGCTGTATTCCGGCCAGATACAGACAAAATAAGGGTGCGTTATGTTCCTGAAAGTAGAGGTTTTGGGCAGAAAAGAGACGAGAAAGGAAACGATGGCCCGCGGTGTCATCAATCAACATCCACTCTGGACCGATTTGCTGAAAACCGAAAAGTGAATAATTGAGCCGACTCGCGAATTATGCATTATGCAGCCGTCTGTCCATTGGCGTTAGCGAACCGAGGGCCTCGTCGCACTACTCTTCATCCGCCAACATTTTGATTGCATGTGGACATCGTTTTGTCCAGATGCATTCGAAATGTTGGCGGATGGCGAGTACTGCAACTAGGGCCCAACTCCCAGAAGGATCCCGCTTCTCGTTCATTTTGCGCGCGCTCAACAACAAGCGGGGGCTAGGTCCCACTTACACGAATAAAGCGATATTGACCGTAGATACTGAAGATCAACGGCCAGAATCTCTTAATACGTGCAAGGGAGACCTTGCCTGGGAGTGGAGGGGAGCAGAGACCCTCCCCGCCAACGACAACCCCGACACCGCGACTCATCCGCGGCCCCCCCCCGGGTTCCCGACGCTAAGGGCCTCGCTCCATTACTCTCCAACATGCACAAAAGACAAAACTCATCGCGCTGTATCTTCCCATGTTCTAGCGGAAGATTCTTTCTCAATTTGCCCATTTGTGGTGAGTAGTGGAGCGAGGGGCGAACAACAGGAAAGGAAAAACCTAGATAAAAAAAACAAAAAAAAAAAAGAAAGGGCTTGCTGGCCTCTTGGATGCAAGTTCGGCCGCGCTCAAATGAATGGCTGAGCCATCTCTTTTGGGTCCGTTTTTTTCTTTTTTCTTTTTTCTTTTTTTTTTTACTGACCGGCCCCAAGCAATTCATTAGTAGTCGGTTTTACTATTCCAGTTCCATCATCTGGATTCGAACACAGGTCTGTATTTCAACAGTTCATTGGTGTGGTCCCCACTGAGCTAGGCTCTTGGGTCTTCTTTTTTTTTTTCGTTTTTGAAAGGGCGACGGCCTTGAGATCCCATCCTCATCTAGCAACCATTCACAGGGCTCGAAAAAAAAATTAAAGAAAAATGAATAGCTGAGCACGTGACTCTTCCTCAGGGTCGGGAGGTGGAGCGCGGCCGTCACGGCGAGCGAGGGGGGGGGATGTTCTCCATCCCACAAACGGCTCCCGTCCCAGGGGCAGGTCCCACTAGCCTCGACCCCCGAACACAACGCACCCTGATTATGAATGTATATAAGGGATCTTTCTGGGTCGATTCAGTCATCATCAGGGTGCGCTGTGTTCCGGGGTCGTCCCCTCGACGCCCGAATCTGGACGTCGGTGTGGAGATGTGCAGAAAATCGCGTTGAGTTTCCTCAACCGCACGCGCTTCTCCACAAGCCAGATGTCCAGCGTTGAGGAATCAACGCTGGAAATCCGTGAAAAACAAAAACAATAAAAAAAACAACTAAACAAATTGGAACGATACAGAGAAAGATTTTTTTTTTTTTTAGAGGCCCTACGGTTGGAGTGACAGGGAGAGCGCCGATTCTCGCAGATCTCAAGGCCCCAACCATCTCCCGCGCGGTATGCATTTACTGCGTTTCCCCCTGTGGAATACCAGGGGGCAGGGAGACTCCGGTCAAGGCTTATGGGGACTAGTGCATAGCAGCTGTAGTTACATGGACATCGGCACTCTCGAAGCTGTGGGAGAGCTACGGGTAGTGGTGGGAGCGATGCCACTAAGTATGCCTGCAAAGTGCTAGTTCTTATCATCAG